TAGCTGAAGTTGCGTACCTTAGTTCGAATTAGGGGGGGTAGTGTAGACCAAGCCTTAGTCTATAATAAATAACTAAACTATTGTTGTATGTAAAGTAAATAAGGTTTTTAAAAAAGGTTTTCATTTAAGAAGCTTCATGTAAAATTAAATTAAAATGCAGAGCCCCCCGGACCAGTGACCAGGACCTGGGCAGTGTGAGTCCCACTACAAATCAGCTCGTGTTTTGCCTTTGGCACGCGTGCCATAGGTTGCCAACCCCTGGAATATAACATAACCGAGATATACCTTATGCAAGATGGCTCATGTGAGATATCATTGGAAAGGTTATGATTTACTGAATGTGATTATCCTATTTGTATGCCTGTATCATTTCTGTATCTGACGTTAGGAATATTGACTAAGTATCTGTATTTCAACTAACTAGGGGGGAGGGATAGCTCAGTGGTTTGAGCATTGGCCTGCTAAACTCGGGGTTGTGAGTTCAATCCTTGAGGAGTCCATTTAGGGATCTGGGGCAAAAATCTGTCTGCGGATTGGCCCTGCTTTGAGCAGGGGGTTGGACTAGATGACCTCCAGAGATCCCTTCCAACCCTGACATTCTATGATTCTATGCTACTTTAGGTGACGCCCATTGCTAACTCTTCAGGTACAACAATGGAAAAGCCAGACAGGGCGGATGGCCCATCAGTGAGAATAACGGACTGTGAAAAGTTTGGCCTTCCTGCAGAAGCTCCATACTGCCAATAACTCATGGACGTTGTGATACCTTGTCTTGTCACCTGATACTAAACATTACCTGGGACTTCTGGTAACTTTCTACTGTAAGGGAAGTGGGGTCAAGTTTGGGAAACAAAGAATTCCTGCCTTACATAAATCCTATTTATGGGTGGGGAGGAAGGTAAACCAAACTCCTCCTCTCCATGGCCTATCTGTCCAAGAAGAAAGACTGCAAAAGCCACCGGAAGGGAAGGGAAGGGAAGGCCAGGAGGAGGGGGGGGGCATCCCGACTGAGACAGGGGACCAGTTTGAAAAGGAATATAAATGGAACTCTGAACCACAGAAACTTTGCAACCTGCCTGCAACAATATCTAGGGTGAGAAGCACTATTTGTAACCAATTTCTTTAGTGAAACTAGCTTAGTTTGCATGTTTGATTTAATTTGCTTGGTAATCTGCTTTGTTCTGTTTGTTACTCCTTTTACCACTTATAATGGGCCTTTTGTAGTTAATAAAACTTGTATTGTTTATAATATAACCAAGTTTCTGTAATTTCTAACTGGGGGGAGGGGGAGAAGTGGTGCATACCTTCCTCCACATTGAGGGAGGAGGCGGATTTCATAAAACCTCTGAGTTTGTGTCCCTTAAAAGGAGTGAGCACCAGAATGTTGGAGCAAGTCCCTTAAGCTGAGTCTTCCCAGAGCTGATCTGCAGCTGGGTGTGGCCCTGCCTGTGTGTGTGTTAGAGGAGGCTTTAATAGCCTTGCTCAGCAAGACAGGTTAAAGGGGGCCCAGGCTGGCAGAACAGGTAGACTCAGTGGTATCTCAGCACATCAGGTGACATCCCCAGGGGTCCAACCCTTCACAAAAATACAACCAAAAATTAAAGACTTTAAAAAAATAAAACAGACTGTGCTTTTGTCAGTGATTATATTAATAAAACCAAACATCTTGAGAATAATATGCACTTCATCAAAAATTTTATTTTTACTGACAAATTTCAAATATGAAATTTATTTAGAATTCTATTTTCCTGTAATAGGTGCAAAACACATCCCAGAATGCTCATTATTACTTCTGATAACAGAATTTCTTTCAACTCCATCTGTATCTGATTCGTGCTTGCAGTGTCCTTTGGTAAGGCACAAAAAATAAAGCAGTACATCTTAGTATTTCTGAAGCAACTAAGGAAACCGAAGTTGTTTTTGTAACATGCAATAACCTTATTTAGAATAAAAGAAGGACCAGAACTAAATTATTTATAAAGCCCACTCATCCAGTGGAGATTTGACATAATGGGCCTACACATGGAGTGGCACCTAGCTTCTCAAAGTAAGGCTTGAGCAACAGAAAACCAAGAAACCTGGAAGGGTACAAACTTGTTTTCCTACAAATTCCTTCCTAATCTGATTTGAGGAAATTATACATGACATGTCTCTACATGAGATCCACCCAGGCATACAGACTCAAGGTAGGTCTAAATTAAAACACTGTAGCACTTCAGTGCAGACACTCACTACAGTGATGGGAGAGATTCTCCCATCACTGAAGGTAATCCATCTCCCCAAGAAGTGGCAGCTAGGTCATTGGAAAAATTCTTCCATCCACCTAGCACGGTCTAAACCGAGGATTAGGTTGGAATAGCTATGTCTCTCAGAGACTGTGTATTTTTCATGCCCCTGATAGAGGCTGCTATGCTGATGTAAATTTTCAATGTCAACTAGCCCTCAGAAACTGACTTTTAAATCTCAAGAGCTCACCTGAAATACAGATTCCAGCCAGATGATCATCATCAAGGTAAAAAGTAGGTCAAGCAAAATTTACAGATATCTATTCCGCTTGTTAAAATACAAACAATAAGGCCAGGTCTACACTCAAAAATTAATTAGACCCAGCTATGTCACTCAGGGGTGTGAAAAATCCACACCCCCGAGTGACATAGTTAAAACGACCGAACTCCTCATGTAGACGCATGAGGTCAACAAAAGAATTCTTCCGTCGACCTGCCTAGTGCCTCTTGGGGAGGTGGATTAACTACACTGATGGGAGAACCCCTCCCACTGCCATTGTTAGTGGCTACACTGAAGTGCTGCAACTGTGCCACATGGAACTTTGTTCAAAGCAAGAAATATTTAAAGGGAAGCTACTTAAAATCAAACTTTAGTCTGAAAACTACCAGTTATTGTTACACAAATTATTTAAGGATATTATAAATGAAAGGAGCAAAACACACTTTTTTACAATTTGTTTCCTTAGTGCACTGGACATCACTTTGCACCATGTTTCACTGTCACTCCAATCCAGTAAAGTATATGTCTGTGATTAACTTTAAGTGCACAAGTAGTCCAACTGACCTCAATGTGACTACTCACTTGCTTGAAGTTAAGCACATGCTTAAGTTATTTGCTTGATATAGGCCTACATCACTTCCCCTGTTTGTGTGGGATTTTTATCCAGAAAGAGGTGAGAAAAGAGTATTTCAAGACAACTGAGAAGTGTAATTGTAAACAAAAGTTAGCAGGGGGACTGGTGAATCTTGGTCCTTTGCGCCTTCTTTCTGTTAAAGTTAAGAAGTTTGGGTTCAAATAGTGAAAACACCTTGCCAAACAGAAGACCCCACCACTTTTTGAAATCTTCATTCCTCAGACCAGCAAAGCTGGAGCACCCAGGAAGGGAGGGAGACAATAGCAGTTGTCCCCTACAAATAAATTCCCCTTCCTGGTGCTACTCACTCACCTATTCAGCCAGCTGAAGAGGAGACAGGTGAAAGTGAAGAAGATGAAGACAATTAGTGAGGATCTAGGAGGAAAAAAAATCCAGCTGTCCTTTCATTATTCTGTGTTGGATAGCTCACAAAGGAACTCTGATTAATATGGAGAGGTCCATGTGTTTCAGTTTTCTGGATAGAAGTACAATCCTTTAGCCTTATCTGAACCTGCCTTTATACTGACCCCAAAAGCATAATGGTGCAACCCTGTAAAGTATTAATGGGTAAGCAAAACATAAAGGAACAGTCACTTGTTGCCCAAATCAAGTTTCAG